AGTCTGTAAACTCTCTGGTGTGAGGCCTGGGTACCTTCAGCTGCTCTATTTATGGCTTGGCTCTTTCCAGAAATTGCAGCCCAGGCTGCTCAGTGTAAAAGCTCCATTGTCAAGAGGACCAATCTCTTTAGGAATGAGGAAAGCATAACTTATCAGAAATCACCATCAAATAGAAAGGTTTTGTAGATCTCAAAGACAGGGACCAACGGGGTGGCAAACAATAATGCATTATTATTCAGCAACCAAGTATTAATCATCAGCTAAGCCAAGTTGCTCAGCTTGACCTTTTTCCAGGTATGTGCAATGAGGTAAGTGCATGGTCCATACACGTAACATCCCCCCTTTGTAGTACAATTGAGGATTCTCTTGCAGAGTTGGAAAGGCTTGTGGAGGTAAAACTGCAGACAACTGTACTGTGTCAGGAAACTAGAAATAAGCAGGCAAGAAGCAAGATAAGCAGTTGTAAATAGGCCTCCTTGATTAACTATCCCTTAAGAATTTCTGAAGTGCCTAAGGGAAATGAGACCATGGGCAAGAACTGTACAAATCTTCTTTAAGTTTCCTAAGCCTGTTGTGACAGGACAATCCCTTGTCAAGCTCGTGTCAAGTAAACAGTGTGAACTTAGCTGACTACCGTAGCTTCTCTGAGTAGTGGGGGTGACCTTTGGAGCCTAATTCATACTGTAGTGCCAAGTAGGAGTAACTCACAGTGGGAACTGAATCATTGGTTTTGGTCACTTGGCAGCTGGGTCATGGATGGGAAGAGGTGGACACCAATGGTGAGATTCCTGAATCTTCCACCAAAGTATCCTGGGGACAGGATGGGACTTTTCTATGGTTGCTTCCCATCTGTAGAATGTTCTCCCCAGGGAGGTTCGGCTGGCAGCTTCATTTAAACTGCTCTTATGAAGGGTCAATACAGTCTAGGAATACGTGCGGAAATCAATCATTATGCTGACAGTCATTATGGAATACCTATTTCCCTCAGAAAGCAACAATTCTCAGAGTGCCTTCGCAGTCAATCCCCCTTCCCAGGAAGCTCTGGGACGTGAATAAAGGTCTCCTGATGACTCTTAGCACCTTTAACAAACCCACAGGATTCCTTGCAGGAAGCCATGACTGTTTATAGTGGCATCATACTGTTTTAAATATACAGTTGGATGCGGCCCAATTCACACAGCACAGCAGGGGAGGCTGGTCACTGTGTGTCAGGGACTAGCAGGATGCTGACAAGTGTTCACACTGGCAAGGGGAGGTGTCACTGACTTGAGAGAGGTTAGTGATTTGTGGGCCACTGTAGAAGCCAGGAGGCAAAAGCTGAAGGCAGGGGAAGCTTCAGAGCTGGAAGGTGGTGCACAGGATGGGTCAGAAGAAGAGGAGGAAGAGGCAGGTCAGGCAAGTGAAGGGTCTCATCTAATTTGACCCTGCGGTTCTATATCTTAGCCTGGTGCACCATAAAGAACCAGACAATACTGTAAGAGAAAAAGCAGCACGTAACTTGCTTCAGTTGTTTGGTGAATGGAGTGTCCTTTATGCCAAGGACAAGGAAATTAAGACAAGCATTGGTAGGTGACGTCCCAGCTAAAGCCATTCAATAAAATACACTTTGTTGAAGCTGCTATTGTGAAGAATTAAAACATTCCAAAGGGTAGCTATTAAAAGAGTTGCATTTGGAATGTGACTTCGTCATAGGGAGTCCAGAGAGTTGAAAGAATGTCCTCCAGAGACCTCGTTGCGACCGGAAGTGGCAGCTCACCTCCTTGAGAGATTCAAGCAGCTGGACACTGGTGTTGTTATTGGATAATCACTGATCTAAGCTTTGCAAATTGATTTAGGTGTTTTGTTATAAGTTTGCTGAAAGACTTGAGGGGAGTTAACTCTCTAACCCATAGTGTTTTTAAATGGGGTTTACAAGTAAGATTTACAGGATAATGGAAATGTAATAATACCATTTCAAAAACACGTCTGATTTAGGCAATCCAGAGTTTGATTCTCCTCTGGATAGGATAGCCATGTAGGAATGCAGGAAGCTTCCTTATACCAAGTCACACCATTGATACATTTTAGCTCTATATTGTTGACACTGACTGGCAGCGTCCCTTCAGAATTTCAGACATCGGTCTCTCACAGCCATCTCTGGAGGTTCCAGGGATAGCCCCTGGGAACTTCTGCATGCAAGGCAGCTGTCTGGTGCATGCTGCTTTGCAACTCAGTCCATTGCGGGTGAGTCGTGCAGAATTAAGAACTGGTTGTAAATCAGAACATTTCTGGAATATTTGTACCCATGTATTTATTCATTTTTAGAAGGTTGGTGTGGTGGTGCTTATACACAAAGCACAACAGAAAACTGCTAAATGCTAAAGGCTTACATGTAACTTCTGTACCCCAATTCCCAGGGAAAGGATTAGGGGTGAGGTTGTTTGGGTAAGGCTTCTCAGCACGTTTTCAGGACAGTAAGGGCACCAAGCAAGTGTTTGGCAAACTCCTAGCATCTCGTTTTGTGTTTTATAGACCATTTTGCTCATCCTGCTAACTCCATCAATTGCTGAGAAAGAAGTCTGGCAGCACCACCACCAGCAGCAGAAGCCTGGGGAGGAACAGCTAATTGACCCCAAGGACCCAGAGATAATAATAAATAATAATAATTATTATTATTTATACCCCGCCCTCCCCAGCCAAGACCGGGCTCAGGGCAGCTAACAACCAATAATAAAAACAAGTTGATTAAAATACAACTTAAAAAACAAGATTAAAATACAACATTAAAACATTAAGATGCAGCCTCTTCACAGGAGGAGAAAGGAAAAAAGAAAGAGGGGGGAGGAATCAAAGTGATTCTAAGCCAAAGGCCAGGCGGAACAACTCTGTCTTACAGGCCCTGCGGAAAGAAATCAGATCCCACAGGGCCCTGGTCTCATGAGACAGAGTGTCCCACCAGGCCAGAGCCAGTGTTGCAAAGGCCCTGACTCTGGTTGAGGCTAATCTAACTTCCTTAGGGCCCAGGACCTCTAGGGTGTTACTATTTATGGACCTTAAGGTCCTCCGTGGGGCATACCAGGAGAGGCGGTCCCGTAGATACGAGGGTCCTAGGCCGTGAAGGGATTTAAAGGTCAAAACCAGCACCTTAAATCTGACCCTGTACTCCACCCTGTACTCCACTGGAGTTTCTGGGACAGCTTCAAATGCAGCCCCACATAGAGCGAATTACAATAGTCCAGCCTGGAGATGACCGTCGCATGGATCACTGTGGCCAGGTAGGGATGCAAGCATGTTTATTTCCACACTCTCCAGTTCCTCTGCCCACCCCTGCATCTCATCCTCAACCGCTGCCAGCTGACATGCTCTGCTTTCATGCCTTCCATGGGCAAAAGCCTGTATGCTGAGACCAAGCCGCTGCTCCGAGTCACTGGTTGCAAGCTCATCAGGGTTGTCGGATCCTGCTTCCTCACTCAACGTCTTTCTCGCGGCCTCTCCCTCTTGCCTGGTGGACTCAACTGGCCGCTCCACTTGCTCCCCTTAGCGTCCACCTCCTCCTTCACCAACTTGTCAGCCAGGGTGAGGCTGCAGAAGCTGGGGCAGCTGGTGGTGGACAGGACACAGTGCAGCGGGAACATACTGAGATTGGAGGCACTGCTGGACCTCCTGGTCGGCCTCCACACCAAGTGCAGCCATGACTCACTGCTCAGGAGGGACAGGCTTGTCTCAAACTTCCTCAAGTGGGAATTGACCTCCTGATTATCATGAGTGAGGGAGACAAGTTTTTTGTCAATAATGCCTGGGCAGGCTACCCAGTCAATGCCCACCTTACCATTGGCAGTAGGCCCAGAGCCCCACTGTCTCCACCATGGTCCACTGCCCAGGGACCCAGCATCTGGCTGAGCTGGTGTAACAATGGGCAGCATCTGTGTTTTATGTGTATTTTAATGAACTGACTAGAGTGAAATATTATGAGTCATGAGGGCATGCAGTGTCTGTGTATAACCTTAACAGTGCTTTGCTTATTTTTTAAGTTGCTATTCTGTTGTCAATATTGTTTTATAGATTGTAAATGCTGTGTTGATTTGTTAATAATATTACTTTTACTGTAATTGCGATGTTTAGCCTATGTTTTTAGTTGCTGCTTTATAGGTTGTAATTGTTTTATTGATGATTGGTTAATTGCTTTATATTATTTATGCTGTATTTGTAATGTTCTTTTATGTTTTATTACGCTATTGTTATTTATTATTTGTAAGGCACTTTGGGATTCATTTGAATGAAAAGCAGCATAGAAATACAACAAATCAAATCATTAAAATTGATTTTCTCCTGGCCTGTCATATGCAGCTTTGGTTGAGTGGGCATATGATGAAATTTCCATAATTTCAGGAAAAGGAAGCTGTTTCTACACCAAGGACGTTAACCACATAATCCTCCCCTAATTTTCCTTCTGACCACTAGTTTCTCCACTTATTCCCATAACCACTGCTTATATGCATCTCCAGCTTGGACCAGCTTGCATTGCTTCCACCACAAATTAAAGAGAGGCAGGCCTGAGCAGAAGGAGGGAGCAGTCTGGCACACTTTTACTGGGCCTCGGAAGACTAAGCTGGCTAGGGGACCCCACCACGGACCGGCCCCTTTTTGGTTTGAGTTTATAACTTTATTCCAACAAGATTCCCAACCCGGGAATCAAACTGCAGGATGAAGTCATCATGTGCCCAGATTCCTGAACAGGTTTGCAGAAAATTCATGAATAGGTGGAGTCCTGTGATTTTACTACCTCGTAGTGAAGATGGGCCATTCTGTAGCGAGCCACTGCCTAGTTGCCATCAGCCCTGTATTTACTGAATTCATGTATCACAAAAACAAACATACGTGGTGACATGTGTGACATGTGAGTGGATCTTGTTTCAGCAGTAATGAATGTTATGATTTCTTAGTTGGACCGTTAATAAAAAGCAAGCAAACCATTTCAGTGCCATTGCAATTTTCTTTTATTTTTGCAAAGCGATTGCCATCCTCCAGGGGGGTAGTGGGGCAGTTTTTAGTGCCCTCTGCCTTCTATTACAAAGACAACAAAATCAGTTACAGAAATTATCTAAAGTGTACTAGTATGATTCGTGATTCTCTGGTTTCACTTGATTGGCTTTGGAGTGGCAATGTGGAGTGCGCAGGAGCAAGAAGTCATTGTCAATCTGGTCCAGGAGCGTAGGTATGTTCAGTCCGTAATACATCTGGAAATAATAAAGTAAATCATATAAATTAATCTAGTGATGACAATCTTATTCTAAAGGGAATTGAGGGACAACCTACCAATATTCTTGAACCCAATCCCCATTTTTCCTAGACAGCATAGCCAATGGTCAACAATGATGGGACTTAGCATCCAACAATATCTGCAGAGCATCATTTCTCAGGAGTCCAGGCAGTGAGTGGTATCACCACAGGCCCAACTTTAACTCTCCAGTTTATCATCAGAGTTGAGTATGTTATCTAGTCAACTGAGCTGAAGTTTTATTAGTAGGGTCTTGATTTCATTTTGTATGATGGAGTATATATGTTATACTGTGGATTTGAGTCAAAGCATATTCAGTGGTGACAGGGTACCCATCCTACCCCCTAATCTGACAGCTTCTCTACAGACTAGAAAATATTTCACACATAGGAGGCTCTCAGAGAAAGGTAATCCTTTCCCCTGAAGTATTTCAGTCCCACCAGGATATTGCTAATGACACAGATGAACCATATGTAGACTATGTACATAGAAATACTTACAATTCTTTACTGCTCAGGTAGATTGTTGTTGAAAAAGAAGCAAAAGACACAAGTTATTTCTCTGTTTCCTTAGGTAAGTCACTACAGGTCACTAAATGACTAGCAAACAGGCATTTAATTGAAAGGAAGGAGAGGCTACCCAGAACAAAGATTTGCTTATCACTGAGAAATATATATTTTACTCACAGAAGACTGACTGAAATTAATGGACATGACTAACTTAGGTAATTAATTTCAGTTGGTCTCCTCTGAATAAATAGACCAAGGAAGGCAACCATTTCCACACTGAGGGAAGCTTTTGTAGGCTCAGAGCTACTGTAAAATGTTTCTTACGATTGTTTATATTTAATATATTTGTTATATACTGCCCTTAATCAGAAGATCTCATGGTGGTCCACAAGATGTAAATACAAGATAAAAATGCAAATAATGAGGCACCAATCTGCACATTTGTCTGTTTTCCATTCTAGGCTTGTGGTAGAAAACTCAGCCATGTAAGATACCAGAAGGCTAAATGGATTCTTGAATACCACTCCTTTCCCCAACCGCGCCTCCCTTGCCCCCAGGGGGTAAGATTTGCATTTCATGCTCAGTGCTATTTTTCCTGCCTTCCAGCCCTGTTTGGGGGGTGGGAAATGAGGCACTATTCTGAGGGGGAAGCATTTGGGGTCCCCACATGAAATGCAGCACTAGGGGGTGGGAATGGGGTTAACAACTTTATGCAGAGGCTCAACCTGTTGCTTCTCTCCATTTCCAGTTGGAGAACCATAGTACTGCTATTACTCAGACTGCACTAATGTTGCTAGGGCCACAAACAAAGATTACACACAAATGCAAAAGAAGCTACTGGGTATCATCTAGTTAAATAATACTAACAATAGTAATAATGCCCCTTTCGTGGTAAACCAAAATATTGCTCATTTAAAAGTATCAGCAATACTCACAACTACACCAGCAACACTCTGAAATATAGAAGTGTGTATATAGTTAGTCTTTCCTCAGCAGTTCAAGCATTCATCACTGAGGTGTATAAGGGAGAGGACCTCAACATCCAATAGGCAGCATTGTCCCATATTTCCATGTGCTGCATTGCATGTCAAGGCCCTGAGCTTTCCCCCATTTGTTGAATAATAAAACACATGGACACCAGTATTTTAGGTTAATGGGCTAATAAAGGCCACAACTTAACTGGTCACAGAATGTGAGTGGTATTGGCTTAGGCATTGGAATTGAACTGACTATATCTGACTCCTGCCCGACATGCAGGTAGTCCAGTAAGGGTCAACCACCAGTAGGGGGAGCCCTGTGGATGTGCTGAGGCAGGAACCAAGATGGAGAACAACCAGGCCGTGTGGCTGCGTAAATGCTATAAGCCACGGCCATGGCCGACTGGATTGGTCAGTGGGGGTGTGACGCGGCCGGGACTCCCCCATGATGTGAGGGCACTGCCACACCCCCGCTGAACACGGTGGGAAGAAGAAGAGGAGTTTGGATTTGATATCCCGCTTTATCACTACCCTAAGGAGTCTCAAAGCAGCTCACAATCTCCTTTCCCTTCCTCCCCAACAAACACTCTGTGAGGTGAGTGGGGCCGAGAGACTTCAGAGAAGTGTGACTGGCCCAAGGTCACCCAGCAGCTGCATGTGGAGGAGCGGAGACGCGAACCCGGTTCCCCAGATTACAAGTCCATCGCTCTTAACCACACTGGCTCTCTCCCCACACTTGGAGTGTGGGGCCTGCCCGCAACCCCGCCCCAAGGGAAGGGAGTGGCCTACTAAGATCCTAAGAGACACCTGAAACTCTGCAGGAAACTGTGAGTAACCTTGTTGCTTAAGTAGCAAACTCTTCAAGATAGTATTTCTGGAAATGTGGACCAAATCTAATATATACCATGATCTAACACTACTATGAAGAAAAGAGATAATTCAGCTGCAAAGGGTTCCTTCTATAGTAGGCTGCTTACAACAGGAGAATCGATTATTTATCATATTCTTTTCTCGCTAGGATCATATTCTGAGGCAGAAAAGAACTTCCACCTTGCCTCCCTACTGCCTTCCCACTACGGACTATATAAAAAATACAGAAAAGTTCCAGAATACTCACGCTCGGTAAGTTGCTCAAATCAAGACCCTAAATTGAAAAACAAATTGAACTTATTATGCTTTCAGATGCCCTACATTACGGATGACTGCCTATGAAAATAGATAACTATCACCAGACAGTCTTCAATTAAAATGTGTTCTCTTAGAGGGGATGCCTGGTCCAAGTCCAGTTGAACAATATGGAATCAAGTCCAGGTTCATATTACATGCTGCTTGTTTGTTTCATATGCTTCCTTTCCTTCACGGATTCTTGCTTTTATTACAGCTGTTAGCAATACTAAGTGACCTTTTCCAGGAAGGATATGTGAGATATGAACATTTTAATACAACTCAAATTACATGGCCTTCAAGAGATATTCAGATACTCCAGTTAATCATGAGGCATTCACACTCCAATGCTCCCAAAAGCTTTACACCAACAGGAAACACAAGACTTGTCATATGAAGTGACAATATACAGTACAGTAGATCTGCAATTCCCATGGGCGTCATGTTTCGGGGGTTTACGTACAAAGGCAAAACCATGCAAAGTGAGGAAGGCCCCATGGAACCATTCGCTCAAGGCCTACTACTACCTTGCCAAACTCTGGGAAGGTTGTGCGAGGCCTCTGGAAGGCTGTGGGAGGCTACGGAGAGATATGAAGGGATGTCAATCCAAGTCCAGTTACATATTACACTATCTTGGAGACACCTACAATAAGACATCCCAGCTTTGATTTCCTTCATGTCAGCAATGAATTTAGGGAAGCAGCAAATGATAATCAAATGCTCTTCACAAATGCCTACCTTTAAAAAAGGGCAATCATATTAACTGTCTGTTCTTCCCTGGCTTGGATCATATTTTGAAAAAGAGAAGAACTAAATGGAAATAACAAGTTGAACTTCCTATGTTTTTGTGCTAAATTTTATAATTCTCTGCTTGGGTATCAAAATTTGCCTGCCTGTAACAAATGGCAAACATTATAGCCCAATGAGTTCTTCCCTTGCTGGGATCATCCTCTGACCACCTCCTTCCTTCCCTTCCTGCTTTCCATTTTCACACTACATACGATATAATAATCATTCAAAGGTTTCACAATACTCACGCTCAATACACCTTGCAAACCCTACAATGAAAAACAAATTAAACTTGTTAGGCTTTCATGTTGTTTGCACCCCTTATAATCTGCAACACTTGACAGACCACAGTTGTTTATTCTGAAGAACCATCAGTACACAGTCCACTATATAAAAGTGTCCTTTGATAGAATATGTGGCCAAAGTCCAGTTTTAGGATAGAGGGTGCAGCAGATTATATCTAAAATATAATCTTTTAAAATTCCTGGCTTTGTAAAGGGCAAGCATTTTAGCTCTGTGAATTCTTCCCTGGCTGAGGTTATATTGTGACAGAGAATAACTTTTCCTTTCTTCCTCATCTCCCTTCCACTTTCCCACTAAAACCAAAACAAAAAATCTCAATACTCACTCCCACGGCTCCATTCACATCAGCACGCTAAATTGAAAAGCAGATTGAACTGATTAGCAAATGGTATGGAAGATCCAGGCACAGATATGACACATAACACATATTTGGGTCAATACATATCAAAAACTAACAAGAATTCTTTCAAAGAGTTAATTCCATCACGCCAGAGCAAGCTATAACTCGGCTTTGGAACACGTTTTTAAAAGAAAAGCCTTACTAGCTTTACAGATATCTTTTAAATGAAAAACTTTTTAAAGAAATTCCTGAAGTAACTGCTATTATAGTTTGTACAAGTGTACAAAATATTAACAAAATTGGATGACATGAAGTAAAGAGTTGGATCACTTGACATGGAATGACCAAGTTTCATTCTCAGACAAGGATTCCTCATTTTCATGTAGGAAAGATTAGAATATACAGAAAAACCCATCAGAACTGATTCAGGCTCACGTCCAGTATCACTGCCATCATTTTAGCAACTTTCCTTTCCATGGTAATTCTAAAACATCCCGAAAGGAGGGTCCCTCTCTAACAGCCAGGCTGGTAAATTTGGTGTAGAGTTCACTCTCCTTTTCCATGAGGGTTACAAGAGCAGGTAACAGAGTAGACTGTCCAACTTGCAAGGACAAAACAATAGTGGAGTTGGAGCATACAAGGAAAATAAAACTATTTTCTGAACAAAAGAGAAATCAGCTGCCCAAAACAAAGATATATATACAGAACTGCGGGGATTTAGAAAGGCAACTTTAAACCCTGGATGGACCTAGAATTGCATTTTGCAGGGGGAGGTTCAAACAAAACAGACCATATAGGTAATACACAAAGACTTCAAAATACTCACTTCCAGTGTCGAATGCACCTGAGGATCCTAAATTGAAAAGCAAATGGAATTACTTGGGCTTTTATGTACTCTTAACACTATGTCAGGTGCCCACCTATACAGAGGAAAATCTTCTACTTTGAAGGGTTGTCAGCTATTTAAAAGTGCTCTCTATATGAAAGGAGATTAATCAAAGTCCAGATACATATGAAACACTGCTTGGGGAGATCTACAATGAGACGCCCCAGCTTTCTTTTCTTAATGGTAGCAATGAATGTAGGGGGGCAGCAAATGCTTTGACAAATGCCTAGCTTTAAGAAAGGGCAATCATATTAGCTCTGTTTGTTCTTCCCTGAGTCAGATTCTATTTTTTGGGGGGGGGGAAGACCTACTCTTTTCTTCCCCGCCTTCCTCCCACTTTCCCATTATGGACTACGTAGACAAAACAATGATTCACAATGCAATCATTCACTTTCACAACAGCACGCTAAATGGAAATAAATGGAACTTTCTCACTACAAACCATAGAATAACCATAGAAAGCTTTCACAATACTCACGTTCAACATTTGATTCAAAACCTACAGTGAAAAGCAAATTGAACATATTAGGCTTTCATGTTCTTTGCACGACATATATTTTGCAATACTTGACACAGGGCAATTGTTTATTCTGAAGAACCATCAACACATAGTCCACTGTGTAAAAGTGTCCTCTGTTTGAGAGAATGTTTAGCCAAAAGTCCAGGATTTTACCCAATTTCCTTCCTTGAATCATTCCATACTTTCTGGAAAAGAGGGCTGGCAAATAATATCAGTTGACAGCCAAATGGCAAACATTATCGCCTAATGAGTTCTTCCACGGTTTGGGTCATCTATGAGTCACAGAAGAGTTCCTCCTTCCTTCTCTCTCTTCCTCCCATTTTACTGCAACAAACCGTATCGCAAACACACTAAGCTTTCGCAATACTCACTTGCAGTTTGTCTGACAGACCAAGGCTCTAAATAGAAAAGCAAATTGAATTTATTAGATATTAGTGTCTGGCCAAAGTTCAGTATTTAAGGATACAGAAATGTAAAAAATGAGACCTGCAGGGGGCAGCAGATTATATCTGAATGCCTAAAAGAATTCATTGCTTTAGGAAAGGACAAGCATTTTAGCTCTGTGAATTCTTCCCAGCATGAGGTTATATATTGTAACAGAGAATAACTTTTCCTCTCCTCACCCCCAACTCCCTTCCACTTTCCCACTACAAATCATATAGGAAACCCACTCAAGAATCACAATACATTCATGGCTGCATTCACATCAAGACCCTAAACTGAAAAGCAAATCGAACTGATTAGAAAATGGTAGGAGATCCGGTCCCAGGTATGCCACCTAACACATAGTTTCATTTCCTTTTGTGAATAATTCCGTATCTTCCCAAAATGAGGGTCCCTCTCTAACAGTCAGGCTGATATATTTGGTGTGGAATTCAGTCTCCTATTCACTAAGGTTAGAAGAGTAGACTGTCCAACTTGAAAAGACAAAGTAATAGTGGAGATGGGACATACATGGAAAATGTGGAAATAATTTTATGAACTTGCTTGAAAGTTCTGCTATACTAGTTGCCAGCCTACTCCTGCTTGCAGACATTTCCTAAAAGCCTTTATATTAAAAAAACAAAAACCCAAGATTCTTATTTCCAGTAGAACAATTTTCTGAATAGAAGATGAGGCCAAGGAGATCTGCTACCCAAGACAAAGATATAGAGACTGAGCCCAGGCTGTGAGAGTGTAGAACTAAGGCAATTTTAGACCCTGGGTGGGTTTGGCAAATAATATTAGTTGCCAGCCAAATGGCAAACATTATCGCCTAATGAGTTCTTCCATGCCTTGGATCCTCAGAAGAGTTCCTCCTTCCTTCCCTTTCTTTCTCCCATTTTACTACTACAAACCATATAGCAATCACACAAAGGTTTCACAATACTCACTTGCAACGTCTTTTGCAAATCAAGGTTCTAAATAGAAAAGGAAATTGAATTTATTAGATATTAGTGTCTGGCCAAAGTTCAGTATTTAAGGATACAGAAATGTAAAAAATGAGACCTGCAGGGGGCAGCAGATTATATCTGAATGCCTAAAAGAATTCATTGCTTTAGGAAAGGACAAGCATTTTAGCTCTGTGAATTCTTCCCAGCATGAGGTTATATATTGTAACAGAGAATAACTTTTCCTCTCCTCACCCCCAACTCCCTTCCACTTTCCCACTACAAATCATATAGGAAACCCACTCAAGAATCACAATACATTCATGGCTGCATTCACATCAAGACCCTAAACTGAAAAGCAAATCGAACTGATTAGAAAATGGTAGGAGATCCAGTCCCAGGTATGCCACCTAACACATAGTTTCATTTCCTTTTGTGAATAATTCCGTATCTTCCCAAAATGAGGGTCCCTCTCTAACAGTCAGGCTGATATATTTGGTGTGGAATTCAGTCTCCTATTCACTAAGGTTAGAAGAGTAGACTGTCCAACTTGAAAAGACAAAGTAATAGTGGAGATGGGACATACATGGAAAATGTGGAAATAATTTTATGAACTTGCTTGAAAGTTCTGCTATACTAGTTGCCAGCCTACTCCTGCTTGCAGACATTTCCTAAAAGCCTTTATATTAAAAAAACAAAAACCCAAGATTCTTATTTCCAGTAGAACAATTTTCTGAATAGAAGATGAGGCCAAGGAGATCTGCTACCCAAGACAAAGATATAGAGACTGAGCCCAGGCTGTGAGAGTGTAGAACTAAGGCAATTTTAGACCCTGGATGGGTTTGGCAAATAATATTAGTTGCCAGCCAAATGGCAAACATTATCGCCTAATGAGTTCTTCCATGCCTTGGATCCTCAGAAGAGTTCCTCCTTCCTTCCCTTTCTTTCTCCCATTTTACTACTACAAACCATATAGCAATCACACAAAGGTTTCACAATACTCACTTGCAACGTCTTTTGCAAATCAAGGTTCTAAATAGAAAAGGAAATTGAATTTATTAGACATTCATGTCTGGCCAAGGTCCAGGATTTAAGGAAAAGGGGTGTACAAAAGGAGACCTGCAAGGGGCAGCAGATTATATCTGAATGCTTAAAAATTACGGTAATTCCTGGCTTTGGAAATGGCAAGCATTTTAGCTCTGTGAATTCTTCCCTGGCTGAAATTATATATTGTGACAGAGAATAACTTTTCCTTTCCTCCCCATCTCCTTTCCACTTTCCTGCTATAAATCATATAGGAAACCCACTCAAGAATCACAACACATTCATGGCTGCATTCACATCAAGACCCTAAACTGAAAAGCAAATCAAACTGATTAGCAAATGGTATGGTGGGAGATCCAGTCCCAGGTATGCCACCTAACACATAGTTTCATCCTCAAGCAGGAATTCTACCATTTCATGTGGCAAAGATCAGAATATAAAGGCAAACCAGCAGAAACTGATTCAGTCTCACGTGTTGCACAGCTGCCTTCATTTTTGCCAATTTCTTTCCTTGAATTCTTCCATACCTTCTCGAAAGGAGGCTCCCTCTCTGCAGAACAGATTGTCATATACTTGCCTGGCTGGGATCATACTTTGAGGCAGAAATTAGAGCCCAGGATGTGGGGGTTCAATAAAACAATTTAAATTCCTGGGTGGGCCTAAAATTTAATTTATTAGCTAGTCTTTACTCAACAGCTAAATCATTCATCTCTGAAGTGCCTGAAATAGGAGACTTCAGCATTCAAAAGGCAGAATTTTACCATATTTTCATAAACTGCGTAATAAGATCCAAAGAGATACCAGAACCTCTAAGAAAAATGTGATCAAGCTTGTTGCTTTTGCACCAAACTTTCAATATATTCTTTCTGGAAATATAGACTGAATCTAACACACACAAGGATCGAACAGTACTATGAAGAGAAGAGATAACTCAACCAAACAAAGGTTCCTTCTGTAGCAAACTGATTAGAACTGGAGAACAGATTGTCATATACTTGCCTGGCTGGGATCATACTTTGAGGCAGAAAAGAACTCGCTCTCTCCCTCCCTCCCTCCCAGTTTCCCACTCCAGAGCATACAATAAATAAACAAAAGTTCCACAATACTCACATCCACTAAACCAGACACACCAAGACTCTAAATTGAACAACAAAATGAACTGATTAGCAAATGGCATCGTGGGAGCTCCAGTCACAAGTATGCCACACAACATAGTCATATCCTCAGTCAGAGATTTTCCCACTTCATGTGGGAAAATGAGAGTTTACAGGCAAACCATAGGAAACTGATTTACTCTCATGTGCCATACAGCTGCCTTCATTTTAGCCAATTTTATTTCCTGAGTTATTCCATACTTGCCTGAACCACTAAGAAAAAATGTGATCAAACTTGTTGCTTTTGCACAAACTTTTCAATTTATTATTTCTGGAAATGTAGACTGAATCTAACACACACAGGGATCGAACACTACTATGAAGAGAAGAGAAAACTCAGCCAAACAAAGGTTCCTGCTATAGTAAACTGATTAGAACTGGAGAACAGATTGTTCGTCATTTTCTTCCCTGGCAGTGATATCATATTTTGAGGCAGAAAAGCCCTCCCTCCCAGTTTCCCACTCCAGATCATACAATAAGTACACAAAAGTGCCATAATACTCATGTCCACTACATCAGACAAACCAAGATTCTAAATTGAACAACAAATTGAGCTGATTAGCAAACTGCATGATGGGAGCTCCAGCCACCACGTAACACAGTTTTATCTTCAGGCAGGGATTCTCCCACTTCATGTGGGAAAATGAGAATTTACAGACAAACTAAAGAATTTACCGGCAAACTAGGGTTAGAAGAGCAGATAAAGAAGAGCAGACCGTCCAACGTGCAAAGACAAAGTAACAGTGGAAAATGTGTAAAACAACAACAACAAAAAGTAACTTATGTAAAATTTGAAAATATTTTCATGGAATTGCTTGGACATTCTGCTATACTGGTTGCCAGCCAGTAGGATAATATAAGTTATTGATGAGGCTAAGTTTTATAATTCCTTGGTTTGGAATTCAAACTTCATTGAGTAATAATGCCTGGCTTTCACAAATGGAAAACATTATAGCGTAGTGAATTTTTCCCCCAGTGGGATCATCCTATGAGCAACAGAAGACCTTCTCCCTCCCACTACAAATCTTAGGGTATGAAGATTTCTCAATACTCACGCTAGTTGCTCCACCCAGAAGCTAAATTGAAAAGGAAATTCAACTTGTTAGTCTGTCATGTTCTCTTAACTGCTTAACATATGGAAATGTCATGTAACACATATTTAGGTCCTAAGGCAAGGGTTCCCCTATTCATCAAGGAAACATCAGAAGAGAAAGGAAAAGCGATCTCAACTGATTCAGTCTCATGTGCATCACAGCTGCCTCCATATTAGTCATTTTTTCTTTACAGAGCAATTCCATAACAAAGGAGAGGAGGCCAACCAAATTGCAAAGAGAAGGAAATAGTGGAGGTGGAGCATAATGCGGAAAATCTGAAAACCCTTTTTAGAAAAATCATTGGGGTGTTCATTTGGGTATACTATTTGCCAGCCAGATCCTGCTCCCATATGTTTCCTAAGAAACCTTCTGGATTTTCACTTCCACTACAACAATGTTCTGAACAGAAGGAAAAGTGGATGCCAAGAAGATCAGCTCCCCCAAGCAAATACAGAGAGTTCAGGCCCTGTACTGAGTGGTCTTATTTGGGGTGGAGCACACAGGAAGACACGTGAATATCCATCACCAACTGTGTTGTGCTTGGTGAGCATGGGTGATAGGGTCTTCTTGGTGGCTGTGCTCAGGTTATGGAACTCAGTCATGGAAGAGTTCCATCTCTTGGACATCAGCTAAACACAACAAAATTTAAGTGTACATTTCACTACTAGATAAGTGATATTTCTCCCATGTCTGTCATTGCTGGCGGTTTGCAGGGGTGTTGCTTCGTATGCTTTCTTGGTTTCAATGACGACTCTTCTTACATTACGTCTAAGCCATCCTGAGGCACCTATTTTAGGATGGATCCCAAGTGCTTCAGTTAGATGTGGTACACAGTTGCCATCACACAGGGGATGGCCAAATATGTCCCTTCTGGTTTCTCTCAGATCCTCATTTTCCCAAAGGAGAGGATACCAGACAAACCAACTCACAGGGACAAAAGGATAGCAGAGAGACACAACGTTTGAAAAGTCTCATTCAGGAAATAACTAGAATTTTTTTCTAGCCTCCATTCAAAATATTGATTTTCATTTCCAGTATAGAAATATCCCAAAGAGAAGGACAGGCTCCCAATGCCCCTTAACCCCCCCCCCCCCCCATATAATGACTGAGCCCAGAATAAATTCTACCGATTCAGGGGCTTTTTGTGTTAGTTTCAGATTTCCAGAATCAATCAGGAAACTACAACACAACTTAATGTTAAAAAATAAATAACTAAAAATTACAATTGAAAAGTCACAATAAATACTCGATACTTACTGGAGATCTCTTCTTCCTCTGTTGTTATTTTACAAAGGGAAACAATAGTGTTTTTTTTAGTTTTTTGCTTTTTTGTTTTTCATATATTTTGTCATCAAATATATTCAAAGAAAATACAGAAAAGATCAAATTGTTATTTATTTCTATTCACATCCCGTTACTGAGTATATTACAGGAGAAACACATTATATTTGCTTCTGTTTCTGTTCAATCTCTATATCACAGTGGTACCTCTGGTTAAGAACTTAATTTGTTCTGGAGGTCCGTTCTTAACCTGAAACTGTTTTTAACCTGAAGCACCACTTTAGCTACTGGGGCCTCCCGCTGCCGCTGCACGATTTCTGTTCTCATCCTGAAGCAAAGTTCTTAACCCGAGGTACTATTTCTGGGTTAGCGGAGTCTGTAACCTGAAGCGTCTGTAAACTGAAGCGTCTGTAACCCGAGGTACCACTGTACATTCAACTGTCAACATACATGAAGGTAATGTTCTAGGGACAACTCATAAAGCTAAAATAGTGTATAAGCAAAACACCTTCTCCCTGCACCTCCAAACACTCTCCCAAGGTTGGGTTGCCAAAGTCCCCTCCCCCCCCCCAAAAAAAACCTCCACCCCTTATTTATTTACTTTTTGCCAAGTGAGTAAAGCTGAATGGTGCGGCATTCCTAGATGGCAGAGGCTTCAGTGGGGAAGGGAACTCAACCTTCAGAGCTTTTCCTGCTGGACCGTGGGGCCATAAGCCCCCATGGCCTATCAGGAACCAAATCCTAGCCTGCACCCTGCTTTGGCAACTGCAGTTCCTGGAGGTAGCAGTATCTGCTTACATTATACTGAAAAAGTCTCATTGTTATCCATAATACAGACACAATTATTAATCTATCAAAAATATGTATCAAATAGCATATCACTTCAATCATTTGTCTCTGAAGCACCAAGATTAAGAGCAAGGAAGTGGTCCCTGTTTTTTTTGGGGGGTTAGCTTTTCAAATCTCCCTAAAGTTAATGGATGTCCAAGAAAAGTAATACAATACTTACAGAAAGTCCAGGCAGGCCCTAAAATAGAAAACAGCGTGTTTTGTGAAAAAGCGTGTTCTCCTTCATGGAAAGCACGTGTTGCGGTGGGGGCCGCCAGGACACTCCAAAGTTGGGGGGCGGGCTAATTGATCGTTGGCCACTGATACGATTGGGGCTTCCCTTGTTGTTGGGATGAAGTTAATGTTGCCATTTTTTGATTGACAGCCAGAAATAGTAAAACTCCTTGCACGAGGCTAGGGCTTCCTCTTTTCGCCCGTGCATCAGATTGCCCATCCCTCCCTCCCTAGAATAGGGTTGTTCGCTTTGACCTTGCTATGCCTGTCATGGGGTCGTCTGCTTTGGAGCGGGGGCCTGGTAGGAATTTTGTCCATCTGGCTGATTGGCTGGGGCCATTTGGTTTTTGGCTACTGCGTAGCAAATCGTCACAACTTGTAAGGTTCACGGTTAGGCATTGGTTTATGGTTTGGTTGGTTGAGGGGCATGGATTGGCTGTGCCTGCCCCTCTAATGCTGCTGCTGCAAGGGATTCCGTTAAAGGAATTGGGGGCTAACTATTGCTTGTCCACTCTGTCAAGGGGGCTCGGGCCATAGCAATGAGCTCCTGGTTGCATTTGGGGTGAGGGCAGGTTCCTGCTCCGCGTAACCGCCTAGTGTATTCCCCCATTCTGACTTTCGCATCGTGCGGAATGTCAGTCTGTCCCCCATGGTGGGGGCAGATAGTTGCAACCAATGCCTACGCAACCACTCACAAATTTGTATTTTAATAAAGTTGTGGCCAAAATTACGCCAAAAATCTTAAACAAAAACTTCTGTGTGATGTGTGAGTTATTGGGGTGGACCTGGGGACCTCGACACGCAACATCATTTGAGACAAAATAAGCAAATCTGGGCATGCTTCCCAACACTACTATATCTACAGATCTCCAGATTTAAGGAAACAAAGCTGAGAGCACATATGAATAGTTGAGCACAGTTAAATCAGAACAGCCACTTCTGTGGGACACTCTTATGAACTAAGGGATACTTCTCGACTTCATGATCACAATTAATATACCGTATTTTTTCGTCTATAAGACGCCGCCTATCTTGGGGGCCTCAAAATTTAGAAAATAGGTGGAGATTGAGCTTTTGGGAAGGATTATTTGGGGGGGATGCCAAAAATCGTTCACCCGACGGAATGCAGCACACAACCCCTCGCATTGCTTACAATCTCCGCTTACAATCTCGGGCTCGCACCAAAAAACCATTCGCCCGTCCCCCCTTGGCACTACCTGTGTATAAGACAACCCTAAATTTTGAACCTCGTTTTTGGGTCAAAAAAAGTTTGTCTTATACATGGAAAAATATGGTATAACATGTTTGATTACTAAAAGCAGTTGCAAAGATTAGGGCCCTGAACCAAATTTTCATACTTCTAAAAGGAAGAGCCAAGCTGTGGTGTTTTTCTCTTCTCGTTAAAAAGGAAAAAGAAACTTCTTGGATATCGCTAAGGCTAAATAAGACTAATGGTAAGTAATGTCTAATACTCACAGACACTGGCAGGCCATTCTAAATTAGAAAACAAAAATCCATTTTAACATAATCAATATAACATAATCAGTATAATTAATAAATAAACACACACAAAAACACACATCCCCCTTCTTTTAGTAAAAGTACCTAGTGTGGCATACAGTGTTATCATAAAAATATACAAAATATAATAAAATGCACAATGAAAACATAAAACCAGTTTCTAAATATGCAGCATAAAATAAGGATGTCTCATTCTATAATGATAATTTAACTATTTATACCCCACACATCGTACTGGGTTACTCAGCCATTCTGGGCGGCTTCCAACATATATTAGAAACATGAAACATAAAGAAAAACTCCCTCTACAGGATTGCCTTCAGACGGCTCAGGGGTCGGATATCTCCACACCCTCCAACATTGGTCTAATGAAATAAGGATGTCCTAAAAAAAGTGGGACATTCCAGGATAAAATCAGAAACCGGTATGGCTTCTCTAAATCAGGGACGTCCCTGGAAAATCGTTACACTTGGGGGGGTCTGTAGTCATAACATAGAAAATACAGTACTGGATCACAACTACACCATATATTTAGAAGACATTCCAAGTGCTTTTAAAGCACAGGTCTTAATGAGCTTATAAAGCACATGGATAATCATTGCCCAAAGGTTAGTAATATAGAGAACTTACAAGTACGCCAGTTGGAACAGGCATGTTCTAAAACACAAAAGGAGTAAGTTATGTGAAATTATCATTTGGAACATAAAGAAGCAAAACTGGACAAACATCCCAACACTAATATATCTATGGCTCTGCAGAATGAAGGGGAACATAGCTCCTGAGAGCATTTGTGAATAGTTGTGCACAAATTGTGTCCTCCATCATGGAGGGCACGTGTTGCGGTGAGATCACCTAAACTGCCTCATGTTATGTGGCAGGACCGTTTGGATAGCCACAAAAACCCCCTTGGTTACGCCTCGGTTGCTGGGGTAGAAATTTGGACTGTTGGGTCGTCTATTGGCTACCGAGGGGCTATTTAAGCTGCTGCACGTTTCTGGGAGCTTTCTCTTTCCTGCGATGTGCATCGGATCACCCGCCCTCCCACCCTATATTTAGGGCTGTCTTTGGCCTTGCTATGCCTGTCTAGGGGTAATCTGTTTTGAAGCAGGGGCCCAGTAGGAATTTTGCCATTTTGCTGATTGGCTGTTGCCATTTGGTTTTTTTCCTACCGTGTAGCAAATTGTCACAACTTTGTAAGGTTGGCGGTTGGGCATTGGTTCAGTGTTTTGTGGAGGGGAAGTGGTTGGCTGTGCCTGCCCCTCCATCACTTCTGCTAGAGAATTTTGTTAAAGGAATCCAGGGGCTCGCCTTGCTTTTGTCCCAACACTGTCAAGGGGCTAGGGCCATGCCAGAGCCCCTGGGAGCATCTGGGGTGAGCTGTGAGATCAAAGCCAGCTTCTCACTCCCTTAGGATGCTTTCCCTTACTGACATATGGTGGTGCCCAGTGTCAGTCCTGTTCCTGCCAACGTGCAGGTTCAGGTAGTCTGGAACCAATGCCTAAGCAACCACTCACATGATGTAATCAATAAAGTTGTGGCCAAAATTAATGCCAAAAAAACCTTAAACTAAATTCTGTGTCAATTGTGTCCTTATTTTGGGGGTGGTTTTGGGGGTCTTCATAGGCAATTAAATCATGACAGCTACTTCTGTGGGACATCTCTAGGAAATAAGGGACACTTTCTGACTGTACAACCCTAATTAACATATAAAATATTATATATTTGCTTTTTTAACGTAGTTGCAAAGATTAGGGCCCTGAACGCTAATCTTCATACTTCTAAAATTTTCATACTTCTAAAAGGAAGAGCCAAGCAGTGGTGTTTTTCTCTTCTAGTTAAAAAGGAAAAAGAAACTTTTTGGATATCATCACGGTTAAATAAGACTAAAGGTAAGTAATGTCTAATACTTACAGACAATGGCAGGCCATTCTAAATTAGAAAACAAAAATCCATTTTAACATAATCAATATAACATAATCAGTATAATTAATAAATAAACACACACAAAAACACACATCCCCCTTCTTTTAGTAAAAGTACCTAGTGTGGCATACAGTGTTATCATAAAAATATACAAAATATAATAAAATGCACAATGAAAACATAAAACCAGTTTCTAAATATGCAGCATAAGGGCTCAGTTCCTCAGAGGTTAATGTAAATGGGAACAGTAGGCTATCACTCTGCAAAGCAAGGTGTTTCCTCGGTAGATAATCACAGTATCCTAATCGGACTGTAATCAGGCCAGCATAGTTCAGGCAGAACCCTGCATAGGAGTGCTTGCATAGCTCTTTCAGGCAATAGCCGCATACCCTCCAACATTTCTTCAATGAAAATAAGGATGTCTCATTCTATAATGATAATTTAACTATTTATACCCCACACATCGTACTGGGTTACTCAGCCATTCTGGGCGGCTTCCAACATATTTTAGAAACATGAAACATAAAGAAAAAATCCCTCTACAGGATTGCCTTCAGACGGCTCAGGGGTCGGATATCTCCACACCCTCCAACATTGGTCTAATGAAATAAGGATGTCCTTAAAAAAGTGGGACATTCCGGGATAAAATCAGAAACCGGTATGGCTTCTCTAAATCAGGGACGTCCCTGGAAAATCGTTACACTTGGGGGGGTCTGTAGTCATAACATAGAAAATACAGTACTGGATCACAACTACACCATATATTTAGAAGACATTCCAAGTGCTTTTAAAGCACAGGTCTTAATGAGCTTATAAAGCACATGGATAATCATTGCCCAAAGGTTAGTAATATAGAGAACTTACAAGTACGTCAGTTGGCATGTTCTAAAACACAAAAGGAGTAAGTTATGTGAAATTATCATTTGGAACATAAAGAAGCAAAACTGGACAAACATCCCAACACTAATATATCTATGGCTCTGCAGAATGAAGGGGAACATAGCTCCTGAGAGCATTTGTAAGCCCAGTCACCTTTTTATATATTGGACATCATCGGAAGTCACAAAGCTTCTTTAAGTCTGTCTTTGATATCATGTACAGAAATGGTAACCTATGAGGTATATGGGGAAGTGTGCTATTTAAGACTAAAGGAATTTATTTAGAATTAGGGTTGCCATATCTTAAAGAGCAAAAAAAAAAGAGGTGCAGGTGTGGGGGGCGGCTACCACTGTGCCACTACACCTCTTTCTGATCTCCCTAAAGTTAATGAATGTCCAAGAAAAGTAATTCAATACAATTACAGAAAGTCCAGGCACGCCCTAAAATAGAAACCAGTGTGTTTTGTGAAAACATCGTTTTGTAAAAACAGGTTGTGCACAACATTTGAATAGTTGTGCACAATTAAAGCTTAAAGGTTTAGCCACTTTTCTCTTTCAATCAGCATTAATTTACTATTTAACTCATCAACATAATAAGACATCGCTGGGGAACACTTCAATGAAATGAGCTGCAAAATCTTGCAGTAAAGACAAGCCCCCCCTGCCCCAATGAAGGATTAAGGCTTTACATAGAGGATTTCTAGTACTTACACCTCCAAGAAGGTTCTAAAAAAGATAAAGAAAGCAATTATTCCATCATGTTTTCTGAACACAAGAATGATAAATATAGCAAACATTTTGATTATTTCTCACTGGTAAAGGTGGACCCCCACAGGAAGGTCACTGTTGTTTCTCTCTCCTACAGTTCACCCATATCCTCTCAGTCTGCTTTCCATGCTTCAGGTCATGGATTTCTTCAGAAGTGTACACATCCTTTACATATAATGCTACTCCTTCTCCATTCCTGTTTGGTCTATTCCTTTTAAACTGTATATACCACTCAGTTCCTACATTCCAGTCATGAGCCTTATCCTGCCAGGGTCCATTACTGCCTGCTAGGTCACTTTTGCCAAGCTGAATTAAAAGCTGTAATTGGTCTTGCTTGTTTCCCATGCTCTGTTAATTTGTGTAAAGACAACTGTCTTATCAAAATATCTTAGTGAGAACGTGGAAGTTCATCTGGACATAATACAATCATATTCAAAGCTCTCCAGCATTACAGAGAACAATGTCTTTGATACAACTTAAGAATAGTTGAACACATCAAAGTCAGTCTGGAGTGGCTAGATTTGTACTACGCATATTGCAATTAAATACCCTTGCCTTCAATGGAGCCACATCTAGGAACTGAGAGACACTTCTTAACTAGGCGACCAAATATAACACACATAATAGTTTTTCATTTTTATGCTTTACTCTCTATTCGACATAAGTCTCATCAACATTGAATCTCTTCACAATTTAGACAGCATCATTGCCTGGACTTGAAACTCTTCAAATGGTGGCCTGTTGCTGGAAAGACAACTACAGAAGCCCCACATGATGCAATCTGTTATTCTTTGTGGCCCTGTTGATATTTCATCTGGTGTAAACCTAGGCATCACTGTAACTGCATGCAAAACTTTGAAGCCAATGTCAAACTTCCGTCTGTGACCAAACAAGCAGATTACATGTGACATATAATTCAGACTCTCTTTATAAACCACAAGAAGTCTGATCATGGTATGCAGAGGATGGCTATACCTCTCCTCCCCTGTTGACCCCCGGTGACAATTAATGATGTTCAGACACAAGATCTACCCACTCTGGAAGAATGGCAGATGAAGGTGATAGACTATATGGAACTGGCGGAAATGACTGGCAGAATCCGAGACCAGGGAGAAGAGTTGGTGGAGGAAGATTGGAAGAAATTTAAAGACTATTTACAGAAACATTGTAAAATTAATGAATGTTAGAATGATGTTGGAATGAATCTAGGTGATTTTAGCAAAAATGTATCAAAGATTTAAGAAAAATAGACTGGTGAATTGGTGAAAAGAGGGTTGCGTGGCAAGTCCCCTCCCCCATGAGAAATGAAGACACTGGACATATTATTTAAGGTTAATGGGCATAAAAAGGCCACAACTTTATTGATTACAGAATTGAAAGGTATTGGCCTTAGGCATTGGCTCCTATCGACTACCCGGCATGGAGACCGGGAAGGGTTATCCACAAGCCGTGGGAGTCCTGTTGAAGTACGCCAACTAGGATCCCACGGGTGTCACCGCTCGGGGGCGTGCCGGACGCCCTTACCTCCCTAGGTTTCGGACAAGGCAACGCCCCCCAGAGTCCTCTACCGGACTACCCTTTCCTTGGGGGAAGGTGATGGCGCTTCCTTCCCCCCCATTCATTTGCATAACAATAAACCCCTGCCAATGCCTAACCGCCAATACCGCAGAAGTTGTGACGTTTGCTACGAGGTAGGCGAAAAAACCAAAAGGCTGACAGTGCGCCAAATTGGAAAAATTCCTACCAGGCCCCTTGCGGCGACCAACCGGAGTCCATAGCAAGGTCATAGCTAGCTAAGCCTAAGGGTGGGTGGGATGGGAAAACCGCTCAGCTGGCAAGGGGAAAGAGGGCAGTCCCCGGGCATGCCTGGCCTTAAGTAGGCTAGGCCACGCCTCCCCAGCCCGCCGATTGGCGGGCCGGGTCACAGGCGCGCCCGGGGATTCCCTGGATCTCGCAGGGGCAAAAGGCCAGCCCCCGCGTGTGTGGGAGGGGGTAACCCGCAACCCCCTCTCCTCCCAAGCTCGGAAATGGCTAAAGTAAACTTATATCAAGATTAAGATAAATTTTCAGGATAAAAATTCTGAAGAGAGGGAAAGGATTTGCTGAAATGGATAATTGACTTAGAATACAAAAAAGGGAGGTGTGAGGAGGTCAGGGAAACAAGCAAATGAAAGATAAGTTATGGGAAGGTTCGATTTGTTTTTTTCCCCTTTTTCCTTTTTTCTTTTGTTTTTAATTGTTTCTATCTTTCTGTTTTTTATTGTGATGTGTTGGTTTTGTTATTGTTTAATTTGGTGTTTGTACTTTTGCCTTTTTGTAAACCTAAAACTTTAATAAATACTATTTTTAAAAAAAGACAATTAATGATGTTCCATTTAAAAGTAATATGCAATACTTACGCCCAGTAAACTATGATCCTGAATCAGAAAGGAGATACCTAACAGGTTTTTGTTTTTGTTTTGATTTTGTATGATATTATATACCTTCACATAATACTTTGGTTTACGTATTTGTTTTTGCAAATTATAAGGGCCATGTCATGCAGCCAGTATGCCTTAACCATTTCAATCACACAGCAGTATTGTGGAACAAATCTCATCAGCCAACATCCCAGTGAAGGATGTTGTGGATCATTAAGGCATTACATATAGGATTGCCAATACTCACCTTTCCACCAAGAACGTCCTAAAGATGATAAAGAAATATGTTAGTCAATCGTATTATAGGAACACGATAAATATAGTGAACATTTTGATGATTTCACACAGACAAATGTGGACTTGCTGCCTGTTCTATATAGGTCTCGCTTATGTCAAATTTCTTCAATAGAAGGCATCATTGACTGGACGTCCTACTGTCCTGGCAACCTCTACAGTTTTGACTGGTTTGAATTTTGCAGCCATTGCTATTGATCTTTCCCCTCTTAGGATGCTAGTCCAGGGCAACCTACTCCTTATGTTTAAAGCCACAGGCACATTTCATCTATCTTTGTGTGTTTGTGGGGGTGTGTGTGTGTTTTATCTGCCTTCAAGGATTGTTGCCATGGTACTGCTATGAGTATGCAAGGAGAAAGTAGGCTGTATCCCAGGTCCTTTATCTGCTGTAAACCTAGGCATCACTGTAACAGCATGCAGAACTGTGAAGCCTGATAGACCTACCAAATAACTCCTAGAGCTGTTGAATCTTGTTGGACCTGATGACAGAGCTTTGTAGCCAAGGAGTCTTGATGTTTCATTAGAACAGCATTTCTCAAAGCAACTTTGCAACTTCTACCATTGGGACTGCTTTGCATTTTGCAGCCATTACTACTCACCCATCACCTGTTATGATGCTACTGCAGGACAAACTACTCCTTCTATTAAAGCCAAAATCACATTTAATGTCTCTCGCTCTCTCTGTTTCTCTGTGTTAAATATCTTGAAAGGTTGGAGGTATTTCCCTCTCTAATTAAAAGTAATATAAAATACTCACACTAGTAAACCACTACTATGAGATAGAGAGGAGAAAGGAGTATGCAGAACTTTGAAGCCAATGTCAGACTTCCACCTGTGACCATACAGCCAGATTGTATCTGACATATCATTCAAACTGTCTTTAAAAACAACAAGAAGTCTGATCATGGTTTGGAGAGAATGGCTATGCCCATCCTCCTCTGTTGACCCCGGTGACAATTAATAATGTTCCAATTAAAAGTAACATGCAATACTCACGCCTAGTAAACCGCCCTCCTGAAATAAAAAGGAGGAAATCAATTTTTAGACAATCAACATCTCCTTTAAGCACTGTTTCTTTAGTTTTAACGCCCTTTAATATCTTTGTGGGAGTATAGAAAATCAGGCACACTTCTGGCATAAACATCTCTTTCCCAGAAATATTTGGGTTGTTTGTGCAGTGAATGGTCATAACAGGGAAAACGCAGCATTGGCATTCATAACCTACATCAGGTATCTTCAACCTTTTTTAGATCCAGGACTCACTAACTAGGTGATCAAAATAAGATACCTAAAAGGTTTTTGTTTTTGTTTTGATTTTGTATGATATTATATACCTTCACATAATACTTTGGTTTACGTATTTGTTTTTGCAAATTATAAGGGCCATGTCATGCAGCCAGTATGCCTTAACCATTTCAATCACACAGCAGTATTGTGGCACAAATCTCATCAGCCAATACTGAGGGACACTTCAATGAACTAATCTGCAAAATCTTGCAGGAAACACAAGCCCCCCAGTCAAGGATGTTGTGGATCATTAAGGCATCACATATAGGATTGCCAATACTCACATTTCCACCAAGAAGGCCCTAAAGATGATAAAGAAATATGTTAGTCAATCGTATTATAGGAACACGATAAATATAGTGAACATTTTGATGATTTCACACAGACAAATGTGGACTTGCTGCCTGTTCTAAATAGGTCTCGCTTATGTCAAATTTCTTCAATAGAAGGCATCATTGACTGGACGTCCTACTGTCCTGGCAACTTCTACAGTTTTGACTGGTTTGAATTTTGCAGCCATTGCTATTGATCTTTCCCTCTTAGGATGCTAGTCCAGGGCCACCTACTCCTTATGTTTAAAGCCACAGGCACATTTCATCTATCTTTGTGTGTTTGTGGGGGTGTGGGGGTGTTTTATCTGCCTTCAAGGATTGTTGCCATGATACTGCTATGAGTATGCAAGGAGAAAGTAGGCTGTATCCCAGGTCCTTTATCTGCTGTAAACCTAGGCATCACTGTAACAGCATGCAGAACTGTGAAGCCTGATAGACCTACCAAATAACTCCTAGAGCTGTTGAATCTTGTTGGACCTGATGACAGAGCTTTGTAGCCAAGGAGTCTTGATGTTTCATTAGAACAGCATTTCTCAAAGCAACTTTGCAACTTCTACCATTGGGACTGCTTTGCATTTTGCAGCCATTACTACTCACCCATCACCTGTTATGATGCTACTGCAGGACAAACTACTCCTTCTATTAAAGCCAAAATCACATTTAATGTCTCTCGCTCTCTCTGTTTCTCTGTGTTAAATATCTTGAAAGGTTGGAGGTATTTCCCTCTCTAATTAAAAGTAATATAAAATACTCACACTAGTAAACCACTACTATGAGATAGAGAGGAGAAAGGAGTATGCAGAACTTTGAAGCCAATGTCAGACTTCCACCTGTGACCATACAGCCAGATTGTATCTGACATATCATTCAAACTGTCTTTAAAAACAACAAGAAGTCTGATCATGGTTTGGAGAGAATGGCTATGCCCATCCTCCTCTGTTGACCCCGGTGACAATTAATAATGTTCCAATTAAAAGTAACTTGCAATACTCACGCCTAGTAAACCGCCCTCCTGAAATAAAAAGGAGGAAATCAATTTTTAGACAATCAACATCTCCTTTAAGCACTGTTTCTTTATTTTTAACACCCTTTAATATCTTTGTGGGAGTATACAAAATCAGGCACACTTCTGGCATAAACATCTCTTTCCCAGAAATATTTGGGTTGTTTGTGCAGTGAATGGTCATAATAGGGAAAGCGCAGCATTGGCATTCATAACCTACATCAGGTATCTTCAACCTTTTAGATCCAGGATTCACTAACTAGGTGATCAAAAGTAAGATACCTAAAAGGTTTTTGTTTTTGTTTTGATTTTGTATGATATTATATACCTTCACATAATACTTTGGTTTACGTACTTGTTTTTGCAAATTATAAGGGCCATGTCATGCAGCCAGTATGCCTTAACCATTTCAATCACACAGCAGTATTGTGGCACAAATCTCATCAGCCAATACTGAGGGACACTTCAATGAACTAATCTGCAAAATCTTGCAGGAAACACAAGCTCCCCCCCCCCCAGTGAAGGATGTTGTGGATCATTAAGGCATTACATAGAGGATTGCCAATACTCACATTTCCACCAAGAGCGCTCTAAAGATGATAAAGAAATATGTTAGTCAATCGTATTATAGGAACATGATAAATATAGTGAATATTTTGATGATTTCACACAGACAAATGTGGACTTGCTGCCTGTTCTAAATAGGTCTCGCTTATGTCAAATTTCTTCAATAGAAGGCATCATTGACTGGACGTCCTACTGTCCTGGCAACTTCTACAGTTTTGACTGGTTTGAATTTTGCAGCCATTGCTATTGATCTTTCCCCTCTTAGGATGCTAGTCCAGGCAGCAAGAATACTCATCGCAAAGTATTGGAAGACACAAGAACTTCCCACTCTGGAGGAATGGCAGATGAAACTGATGGACTATATGGAACTGGCGGAAATGACTGTAGAATCCGTGACCAGGGAGAAGAGTCGGTGGAGGAAGATTGGAAGAAATTCAAAGATTATCTACAGAAACACTGCAAAATTAAAGAATGCTAGAGTGATGTTGGATTGAAAATAAGTGTTTTCCAGCTGTACAGGATTCAAAGTTATAGATAGACTAAGATTAAAGATTAGGATTAAAGAAGTTTAAGGAAATGGAAATTTGGTATTTAAGAGGTAAAAGTTTAATGCTATATTATATTAAGATTAAAGATTGGGATTAAAAAAGTGGAAAAGAAATTGCTGGACAAACAATTTGGACTAGATTACAAAAGAGGGAGGTATGAGGAGGTCCAGAAAATAAGTAAATTTAAAAACGGAAATGAAAAGGTGATATTGTTTTTAATTGTTCGGTTGTTTTTGTTTGTTTGTTTGTTTTCTGTGCTTTTTTGTTCTTTGGATTATGTACTGTGTATTTGTGTATTTCTTTTTTCTGTTTTTCTGTTTAATCTTTTACTGAAATCTTAATAAAAATCATTTAAAAAAAAAAAAAAAGGATGCTAGTCCAGGGCCACCTACTCCTTATGTTTAAAGCCACAGGCACATTTCATCTACCTTTGTGTGTTTGAGGGGGTGTGTGTGTGTTTTATCTGCCTTCAAGGATTGTTGCCATGGTACTGCTATGAGTATGCAAGGAGAAAGTAGGCTGTATCCCAGGTCCTTTATCTGCTGTAAACCTAGGCATCACTGTAACAGCATGCAGAACTGTGAAGCCTGATAGACCTACCAAATAACTCCTAGAGCTGTTGAATTTCGTTGGACCTGATGACAGAGCTTTGCAGCCAAGGAGTCTTGACGTTTCATTGGAACAGCATTTCTCAAAGCAACTTTGCAACTTCTACCATTGGGACTGCTTTGCATTTTGCAGCCATTGCTACTCACCCTTCACCAGTAATGATGCTGCTCCAGGACAAACTACTCCTTATGTTAAAGCCACAATAACATTTAATTTCTCTCACTCTTTCTGTTTCTCTGTGTTAAATATCTTGAAAGGTTGGAGGTATTTCCCTCTCTAATTAAAAGTAATATAAAATACTCACACTAGTAAACCACTACTAAGAGATAGAAAGGAGAAAGGAGTATGCAGAACTTTGAAGCCAATGTCAGACTTCCACCTGTGACCATACAGCCAGATTGTATCTGACATATCATTCAAACTGTCTTTAAAAACAACAAGAAGTCTGATCACGGTTTGCAGAGAATGGCTATGCCCTTCCTCCTCTGTTGACCCCCGGTGACAATTAATAATGTTCCAATTAAAAGTAACTTGCAATACTCACGCCTAGTAAACCGCCATCCTGAAATAAAAAGGAGGAAATCAATTTTTAGACAATCAACATCTCCTTTAAGCACTGTTTCTTTAGTTTTAACGCCCTTTAATATCTTTGTGGGAGTATACAAAATCAGGCACACTTCTGGCATAAACATCTCTTTCTCAGAAATATTTGGGTTGTTTGTGCAGTGAATGGCCATAACAGGGAAAACGCAGCATTGGCATTCATAACCTACCTCAGGTATCTTCAACCTTTTTAGATCCAGGACTCACTAACTAGGCGATCAAAAATAAGATACCTAACAGGTTTTTGTTTTTGTTTTGATTTTGTATGATATTATATACCTTCACATAATACTTTGGTTTACGTATTTGTTTTTGCAAATTATAAGGGCCATGTTATGCAGCCAGTATGCCTTAACCATTTCAATCACACAGCAGTATTGTGGCACAAATCTCATCAGCCAATATTGAGGGACACTTCAATGAACTAATCTGCAAAATCTTGCAGGAAACACAAGCCCCCCAGTGAAGGATGTTGTGGATCATTAAGGCATTACATAGAGGATTGCCAATACTACATTTCCACCAAGAACGCCCTAAAGATGATAAAGAAATATGTTAGTCAATCGTATTATAGGAACATGATAAATAAGTGAACATTTTGATGATTTCACACAGACAAATGTGGACTTGCTGCCTGTTCTAAATAGGTCTCGCTTATGTCAAATTTCTTCAATAGAAGGCATCATTGACTGGACGTCCTACTGTCCTGGCAACTTCTACAGTTTTGACTGGTTTGAATTTTGCAGCCATTGCTATTGATCTTTCCCTCTTAGGATGCTAGTCCAGGGCCACCTACTCCTTATGTTTAAAGCCACAGGCACATTTCATCTATCTTTGTGTGTTTGTGGGGGTGTGGGGGTGTTTTATCTGCCTTCAAGGATTGTTGCCATGATACTGCTATGAGTATGCAAGGAGAAAGTAGGCTGTATCCCAGGTCCTTTATCTGCTGTAAACCTAGGCATCACTGTAACAGCATGCAGAACTGTGAAGCCTGATAGACCTACCAAATAACTCCTAGAGCTGTTGAATCTTGTTGGACCTGATGACAGAGCTTTGTAGCCAAGGAGTCTTGATGTTTCATTAGAACAGCATTTCTCAAAGCAACTTTGCAACTTCTACCATTGGGACTGCTTTGCATTTTGCAGCCATTACTACTCACCCATCGCCTGTTATGATGCTACTGCAGGACAAACTACTCCTTCTATTAAAGCCAAAATCACATTTAATGTCTCTCGCTCTCTCTGTTTCTCTGTGTTAAATATCTTGAAAGGTTGGAGGTATTTCCCTCTCTAATTAAAAGTAATATAAAATACTCACACTAGTAAACCACTACTATGAGATAGAAAGGAGAAAGGAGTATGCAGAACTTTGAAGCCAATGTCAGACTTCCACCTGTGACCATACAGCCAGATTGTATCTGACATATCATTCAAACTGTCTTTAAAAACAACAAGAAGTCTGATCACGGTTTGCAGAGAATGGCTATGCCCTTCCTCCTCTGTTGACCCCGGTGACAATTAATAATGTTCCAATTAAAAGTAACTTGCAATACTCACGCCTAGTAAACCGCCATCCTGAAATAAAAAGGAGGAAATCAATTTTTAGACAATCAACATCTCCTTTAAGCACTGTTTCTTTAGTTTTAACGCCCTTTAATATCTTTGTGGGAGTATACAAAATCAGGCACACTTCTGGCATAAACATCTCTTTCTCAGAAATATTTGGGTTGTTTGTGCAGTGAATGGCCATAACAGGGAAAACGCAGCATTGGCATTCATAACCTACATCAGGTATCTTCAACCTTTTTTAGATCCAGGACTCACTAACTAGGCGATCAAAAATAAGATACCTAACAGGTTTTTGTTTTTGTTTTGATTTTGTATGATATTATATACCTTCACATAATACTTTGGTTTACGTATTTGTTTTTGCAAATTATAAGGGCCATGTTATGCAGCCAGTATGCCTTAACCATTTCAATCACACAGCAGTATTGTGGCACAAATCTCATCAGCCAATATTGAGGGACACTTCAATGAACTAATCTGCAAAATCTTGCAGGAAACACAAGCCCCCCAGGGAAGGGTGTTGGGGTTCATTAAGGCATTACATAGAGGATTGCCAATACTCACATTTCCACCAAGAACGCCCTAAAGATGATAAAGAAATATGTTAGTCAATCGTATTATAGGAACATGATAAATAAGTGAACATTTTGATGATTTCACACAGACAAATGTGGACTTGCTGCCTGTTCTAAATAGGTCTCGCTTATGTCAAATTTCTTCAATAGAAGGCATCATTGACTGGACGTCCTACTGTCCTGGCAACTTCTACAGTTTTGACTGGTTTGAATTTTGCAGCCATTGCTATTGATCTTTCCCCTCTTAGGATGCTAGTCCAGGGCCACCTACTCCTTATGTTTAAAGCCACAGGCACATTTCATCTATCTTTGTGTGTTTGTGGGGGTGTGGGGTGTTTTATCTGCCTTCAAGGATTGTTGCCATGATACTGCTATGAGTATGCAAGGAGAAAGTAGGCTGTATCCCAGGTCCTTTATCTGCTGTAAACCTAGGCATCACTGTAACAGCATGCAGAACTGTGAAGCCTGATAGACCTACCAAATAACTCCTAGAGCTGTTGAATCTTGTTGGACCTGATGACAGAGCTTTGTAGCCAAGGAGTCTTGATGTTTCATTAGAACAGCATTTCTCAAAGCAACTTTGCAACTTCTACCATTGGGACTGCTTTGCATTTTGCAGCCATTACTACTCACCCATCGCCTGTTATGATGCTACTGCAGGACAAACTACTCCTTCTATTAAAGCCAAAATCACATTTAATGTCTCTCGCTCTCTCTGTTTCTCTGTGTTAAATATCTTGAAAGGTTGGAGGTATTTCCCTCTCTAATTAAAAGTAATATAAAATACTCACACTAGTAAACCACTACTATGAGATAGAAAGGAGAAAGGAGTATGCAGAACTTTGAAGCCAATGTCAGACTTCCACCTGTGACCATACAGCCAGATTGTATCTGACATATCATTCAAACTGTCTTTAAAAACAACAAGAAGTCTGATCATGGTTTGCAGAGAATGGCTATGCCCTTCCTCCTCTGTTGACCCCGGTGACAATTAATAATGTTCCAATTAAAAGTAACTTGCAATACTCACGCCTAGTAAACCGCCATCCTGAAATAAAAAGGAGGAAATCAATTTTTAGACAATCAACATCTCCTTTAAGCACTGTTTCTTTAGTTTTAACGCCCTTTAATATCTTTGTGGGAGTATACAAAATCAGGCACACTTCTGGCATAAACATCTCTTTCTCAGAAATATTTGGGTTGTTTGTGCAGTGAATGGTCATAACAGGGAAAACGCAGCATTGGCATTCATAACCTACATCAGGTATCTTCAACCTTTTTAGATCCAGGACTCACTAACTAGGCGATCAAAAATAAGATACCTAACAGGTTTTTGTTTTTGTTTTGATTTTGTATGATATTATATACCTTCACATAATACTTTGGTTTACGTATTTGTTTTTGCAAATTATAAGGGCCATGTTATGCAGCCAGTATGCCTTAACCATTTCAATCACACAGCAGTATTGTGGCACAAATCTCATCAGCCAATATTGAGGGACACTTCAATGAACTAATCTGCAAAATCTTGCAGGAAACACAAGCCCCCCAGTGAAGGATGGTGTGGATCATTAAGGCATTACATAGAGGATTGCCAATACTCACATTTCCACCAAGAACGCCCTAAAGATGATAAAGAAATATGTTAGTCAATCGTATTATAGGAACATGATAAATAAGTGAACATTTTGATGATTTCACACAGACAAATGTGGACTTGCTGCCTGTTCTAAATAGGTCTCGCTTATGTCAAATTTCTTCAATAGAAGGCATCATTGACTGGACGTCCTACTGTCCTGGCAACTTCTACAGTTTTGACTGGTTTGAATTTTGCAGCCATTGCTATTGATCTTCCCCTCTTAGGATGCTAGTCCAGGGCCACCTACTCCTTATGTTTAAAGCCACAGGCACATTTCATCTATCTTTGTGTGTTTGTGGGGGTGTGGGGTGTTTTATCTGCCTTCAAGGATTGTTGCCATGATACTGCTATGAGTATGCAAGGAGAAAGTAGGCTGTATCCCAGGTCCTTTATCTGCTGTAAACCTAGGCATCACTGTAACAGCATGCAGAACTGTGAAGCCTGATAGACCTACCAAATAACTCCTAGAGCTGTTGAATCTTGTTGGACCTGATGACAGAGCTTTGTAGCCAAGGAGTCTTGATGTTTCATTAGAACAGCATTTCTCAAAGCAACTTTGCAACTTCTACCATTGGGACTGCTTTGCATTTTGCAGCCATTACTACTCACCCATCTCCTGTTATGATGCTACTGCAGGACAAACTACTCCTTCTATTAAAGCCAAAATCACATTTAATGTCTCTCGCTCTCTCTGTTTCTCTGTGTTAAATATCTTGAAAGGTTGGAGGTATTTCCCTCTCTAATTAAAAGTAATATAAAATACTCACACTAGTAAACCACTACTATGAGATAGAGAGGAGAAAGGAGTATGCAGAACTTTGAAGCCAATGTCAGACTTCCACCTGTGACCATACAGCCAGATTGTATCTGACATATCATTCAAACTGTCTTTAAAAACAACAAGAAGTCTGATCATGGTTTGGAGAGAATGGCTATGCCCATCCTCCTCTGTTGACCCCGGTGACAATTAATAATGTTCCAATTAAAAGTAACTTGCAATACTCACGCCTAGTAAACCGCCCTCCTGAAATAAAAAGGAGGAAATCAATTTTTAGACAATCAACATCTCCTTTAAGCACTGTTTCTTTAGTTTTAACACCCTTTAATATCTTTGTGGGAGTATAGAAAATCAGCCACACTTCTGACATAAACATCTCTTTCCCAGAAGTGTTTGGGTTGTTTGTGCAGTGAATGGTCATAACAGGGAAAGTGCTGCATTGGCATTCATAACTACATCAGGTATCTCCAACCTTTTTAGACCCAGGACTCACTAACTCAAAAATAAGATACCTAACAGGCTGGGTTCCCCCCCCTTTTTTTTGTATAGCCTAATATGCCTTCACACAACACTTTTGTTTACGTATTTGTTTTTGCAAGTATAAGGGCCATGTCATGCAGCCAGTATGCCTTAACCATTTCAATCATGCAGCAGTATTGTGGCACGAATCTCATCAGCCAATATTGAGGGACACTTCAATGAACTAATCAGCAATATCTTGCAGTAAGGACAAGGCCCCTCCCCCACTGAAGGATGTTGTGGATCATTAAGCATTACATAGAGGATTTCCAATACTCACACGTCTGCTACCACCGCCCTAAACAAGATAAAGAAATATGTTATTCCTTCATGTTTCATGAACATGATAAACATAGTGAACTTTTTGATTATTTCACACTGCCAAACTATTCCAGGGCAACCTACTTCTTATGTTAAAGCCACAGGCACATTTCATCTATGTGTGTTCGTGGGGTGTGTGTGTTTTAACTACCTTCAAGGATCACAACCATGGTACTCTTATGAGTATTCAAGGGAGCAAGTAGGCTGTATAAAAGATCCTTTATCTGCTGTAAACCTTGGCATCACTTTATTAGCATACAGAACTTTGAAGCATGAAGGTGGCGGCCTTCCCGGGCGTTTTTCCAACAAAACCTACCAAATAACTCCTAGAGCTGTTGAATCTTGTTGGAACTGATGAAGAACTTTGCAGTCAACAACATTTCTCAAAGCAACTTCGGAACTTGTACCTTTGGGACTGCTTTGCATTTTGCAGCCATTGCAACTCACACTTCACCTGTTCTGATGCTGCTCCAGGACAAACTACTCCTTATGTTAAAGCCACAGTCACATTTAATCTCTCTCTCTCTCCCCATCTGTGTGTGTGTGTTAAATACCTTCAAAGAATGAAGATATATTGTTAAATATCTTCAAAGATTAAAGATATAAAATCACTAATATACTAAATTCACACTTAGAAAACCACCACTGAAACAGAAAGGATGAAATCAATATTTCTACCCATATTGTCAGTGGCACCATCCTCCTTGATGCATCATCCCAGCGATCCTTATCTAACTCGTATCACTTTTGCCTGTGGCCTCTGCAAGACTGCCTGATCCTAAAAGACAGATTGTGATTGACAGAAACGAGAGGCAACTGGCATCTGGGGTAAACAGTTGTGGGCAATTATGACATGCAGTTGATTTGATTGCTCAATATTGTTGTTTTTTAAAAAATAATTAATGATATTCCCGTTAAAAGTGATGTGCAGTACTTACGCCTAATAAACCACCAAGCTGAAACAGAAAGGAGGAAATTGATTTTGCTACAATCATCTTTTTTAAACAATTTATCATTAGTTAACAACCTTTAATACCCTTGTGGGAGTATAGAAAATTGGGCACACTTCTGGCATAAACATCTCCTTCTCTTTTAGTAAAAGGCCATAACAGGAAAATGGTTGCAATGCTATATCATCTAAATCAAATATGTGTTTCAAATACCTTCAAGTACTAAAACCACGGTATTCAGGGGAAAACAGTTGTTCTTTTCCCTACACTGTAGTCTCAGTGAAAGTTGCCCCAGCAGAAAAGGCATAAGGGTACAGCCAAGAAGAACAGTCAACCTCCCTTCGGCTTCAGCCAGGTCAACCCTAAATGTCCCATTACAGTCCTTAAAATTTGCCCAGCCTTTAAATCTTAGACCTATCAAAAGACATTTTAAAATTCCAGAAATCAAAACTACTTATACTTTGTGTAAAGTATTTGTTTTTGTAAGCATTAGGGCCATATCATGCAGCAAAGGTGCTTTAACGAGTTTAACCATTTCAACTACACAGCAGTATTGTGGGAGGGATCTAATCACCCAATACTGAGGGACACGTCAATGTACGAATTTTCAAAATCTTGCACCACCCTTGCCGTGAGCAGAGCCTGAGTACTTCTCTGTGGCTCTCGTCTGTCACTTCTGTGTGGCTTTTCTACAAACTAATGTGCAAAACCAGGCAATAAAAGACAAGGGCACCTCATGGGAAGAAACTACAGACCATTGAGACAATACAGAGAGGATTTGCAAATCACCACCACACTATATTTTAGGTTTGGCTTGCAGGGGTCCTATGTGGATCTGGTTGGCCACTATGAGACCATAATGCTGGCCTGATATTTTTGTGTTCTTATAATCCTTATGATCTTGAAAGTCAAATGCTTGATCACTTCTCAGTATGGCCCCTCATCCTTACTGTAAAGGTAAAGGTAAAGGTAAAGGTAAAGGGACCCCTGAACATTAGGTCCAGTCGCAGATGATTCTGGGGTTGCAGTGCTCATCTCGCTTTACTGGCCAGAGCAGCACACGGAAACGCCATTTACCTTCCCGCCGGAGCAGTACCTATTTATCTACTTGCACTTTGACATGCTTTCGAACTGCTAGGTTGGCAGGAGCAGGGACCGAGTAACGGGAGCTCACCCCCTCGCGGGGATTTGAACCGCCAACCTTCCGATCGGCAAGCCCTAGGCTCTGTGGTTTGGACCACAGCATCACCCACGTCCCTCATCCTTACTGTAGAACATTTTAAAACTGCAGAAATCCATTTATGGGCACGTATGCAAATTCTCATTTTATTCTATTTTTTCTTTTAATCACTTTATTAGACCTGAAAACAATTTTGGAAATTAGAGGGTGTATGTTGAACCACCATGGATCCTAGCCAGCATCCAGATGTTCCCAAGCATGCAGGAATCTTGGAAACCCTTTTATTTATCCACTGGAAACATGAAAATGACATCCATTTTTAGCTAAAAGGGATTTTTTTTTTAGTCATTCAGTTCTCTCAATGCATAAAAGATTTGTAATACTTACAAGCTGAGGGGCCTAAGTTTAAAAACAAAAACAGCAATTAGATTGATTGGTCTGCAAGCCTCTTAAGACAAATAAAATACCATCAGCCCCCTCCACCCCTTCAACAAAAGCTGATTCAAGTGGTGGCTCAGCTGGTCTGGTTGAATTTCTGGGACAAAATAATTTTTACCTTCTTTTAAACAAAGAATACAGCAAATCCATAAAAGAAATTATTAGAAGCAGCAGCAATATATAAAAAAGATTGAAGCCAGCAACAGTTCACTCAAAAGCATTGCAAAATGGAGAGATCTCTGGGGCTCACTTAAAGATATGAACTCAGAAAGCCAAAAAAAATGTTCTGTTGGGCGGAAGTTCCACCACCAAGAAAGCTATGTGCCTAGAACCCACCAACCTATTCATTCTCAAGGTCAAGCCAATGAGAAGGCCTCTGAGACTGATCTTAGAGCCATTGGATCATAGGAAGCTGCCTTATACTGAGCCATATCACTGCCCCATACATCTCAGTGTTGTCTACACTGACTGGTCGCAGCTCTCCAGGGTTTCAAACAGGAAATTTTCCCAGCTCATGTGTGTGAGTATGTGCATCAAACAAAACCGAGATATTGAATTCATATATGCAGAACATTTCGGCTTCTGCCTTCAGGAGGCTTGAAACATTTTGCTATATGAATTCAGTTTCTCTATTTTGTTAGCACAAAGAACGATGAAACACTAGACTTGGAGGCTAAACTTCTCTGAATAAAGTTCCTTATGTGTGAAAAACACATTTTGTCACTATGGATGCAATCCCATGCATACTACATGATAATACGTCCTCTTAAACCTAATGGGACTTACTGCCTATTAAACAAAACAAAACAAAACAAAACAGGCTTGTGCTGCCATTGTTATCCTTTGTATTCAGGAAGCTATAGTTTCTATGCCAGCTCCTTCCATTTTTCCATGGTGTAGAATCCTAAAAGGAAGTGAATTTCACTCATTTTTATCCAAATGGAAAACATTTACAATTAAATTGATCCCTTAAGTTTAATTGTAGGTTTTAGATCCCATGTGTAGAATAGCCCCTAAATGCAGGGAGTTTTCATACGATCTTGCCTCAAGGAGCATTTATGTCCTACAAAAACATGCACTTGCAGCTCACTGAATATCTAGCTAAGCAGTATTGAAATATTCTACATGGCTCCCTTAAGTGCAAAAACAGACTTACCGAGATGCTCCCATCTGGACAAAGGAGAAAGACAAGAAGAGCAGTGGTCACAACCTGGAGATGCATCTTGGCTTTGCGTTGGTGTCTTTCAGGAGTGAAGTCACCAAGGTGAAGAATGAGCAGTTTTACCTGCTGTATTTATACTATAATTTTGTCCTCAATTTTCAAGCCTGGTTGACCAAATGTAATACCTCTATTGTCAAGGGAACCTATGACTTTTGTCAATAAGGAAAGGTCAATTCATCATAACTATCATCACATGGAAAGTAGTGGTTGGTTCCAAACACCAGGGGCCAACTTGGCAACAAAGAATAGGCGGCATTATTCTTCCTAACTTGGGTGTTAAAATGGCCCAAATTGACCTTTTCTAACTATGTGCAATGAGGGATGTGCCAGAACTTCTTTGTGACATGGATAATGCCTACATTTCTGAGTATAATTGAGGAGACCCTTACGAAGATGGAATGAATTTCTGAGGTGGCAATTCTTAAGCAAATTCGAAGAATAAGGTGGTCTACAAAGCAGTAGGGCAGCTTGGTACACTTGCCCTGGGCCTGCCAGACTTACGCTGTCATGCCAATAACACCTTGTTCCTCCCAGACAACCAAGGACTCCTGCCCGGGTTTTAGACGAGCTCTGCATGAGCCTGTCCCACAGAGTTCAGCAAGTTGCTTAGATATTACTACCTTTACAATTCCAGTATTTAATATGTGCAAATGTTTGAAATTCACTACGTTAAATCCCAATCCGAAACGAGGTCGTGAATTTCAAAGTGTAACCCAGTGGGGCTGAGTCAGAGTTTTTGGTTCCTATCCTAACCTGCACATCATATCAGCAAGTCAAGGACTGGTTTTATTTAGCCTAAGGATCTTTCAGCATAAATGGGGGATGTCTGCAGCTGAGTTGAATGTGTATTTGATGCTATTTACATTCCCACTTAAGTAGCATCATCCACTTGACATCCGCTTCAGATGACTTCTATCCTGCTATTTTTTCCCTTTTAAACATTGATGAATATCACTGATTCAATGCTTGGAGCCAGGGTGCTGTCATCCATTAGAGTTGGCTAGCAGGAATGGTGGTCCCTAGTCATTGCCTAAGCTGCATGTATACCCACACTGAATTTGGGGAAGTTGAGTTCAAATAATTAAGAATGTTTCAGATCAGACTTGCAAGAGAGTAGAGTTGTAGCCCACTTACTATCGTATGTGTCAATTCCACAAGTTGATATTGTTAAAACACTGCTGCAAAAGCAATTTTGATGTGATACACATAATTTCATTATTTATTTGTGCAGTGTTTTATCAGTCCATTTACAAACCACCACTAAAAAAACCCCCCAAAAATTATGTGTTGTGGCCAATATTAGTCATACTCGGAGTAGACCCACTGAAATTAACTGACATGGATAATTTAGGTCAATTCATTTAAATGGGTCTACTCTGAGTAAAACCTAGATGGCAATTACCCTTTTTTTCCAAGTATAAACTGTAGTAACAATATTCTTTTCCATCCTTTTTCTATCCCTTGTGCCGTCAGTTTCCTTTCAACAAAAGCAAAAAGTTTCATCAATGAGTAAAAACTGAAGTATGAAGTGTAATCTCCACTAAATGTAACTCTCCTAAAAGATTAGACCACATTATAGTGATTCTCAAAATTTATAGCCACAATATAGTGATTCTGTTTCATGCATTCACCCTTTGCTACCCAGTTAGGCCCCTATTTGTGCTTCACAGTCTGGGATATGATAGTGTTGGTGGCAGGGGTCTTGCTACACTAGAAAAACAAAACAGCTGGTAACTTGTGTTCTGGACGTAGCATGGGATAGATACTATTTTTTTTGTTCTAGGTCCGTTCTAGAGTCACAAGTCAGTATGTTGCAACTTTCCTATGATTTTACATCACAGAACACCCTCTACCCATCACCTGCAAACCAGCCATTCACCATCTTACGCTTGTCCTTTACCTGACCTTTCTACATATGTTTATGCATACTAATCAGAACATAACCTGCCAGAACAGCAAAGGGCAAGTAAATGTGACAGTCTGGATATTGTCAGTTTTTTATCAGTTGCCTGGGTTATTTTTGGCTATCTGCTGTTGCCTATGATAGGACAATCTTTCCAGGAACTTGGTGTCTCAGTAGATCCCATTCTTCTGCTTCAGCAATAAGTTTTAACAGCATTTATTGCAACTGATAACAGCCCTTTGATCCAGCTTCTGGCTCCTGAGAAATGGAAGTATGTTATTTTTCTATAAACAAAAACAAAA